CTATAGAGCGAAAAATACGGTAAATGTTTCCATTTTCAAACGCACCTCTGAAGTCAAATGGCTTCTGTTGCGTGTTTTTCAATTTTCTCCACTGCATTTGCAGGCCACCCTTGGCGCCTCAGTTTTCGAACATTTCGGAAGTCAAACGGTCTTCGGGAACAGATTACATTCGAAGGAGGTACCACTAATCAAACGTCAAACATTACAAAATTCCCAATACAGGAAAGAAAAGGGAGAAAACTCTCCTTTCCTGCAATTTCCAGCAACTGTGATTCAGAAGCACGGTTGCTTCAAACTGTGGAGTCACTGCATAGTCACTGTGGCTACGAACTCCTGTGGCAGGGAGTTCCAATGTTTAACTATGTTCTGTGTGGAGAAGTTTTTTTTCTTTTATCTGTCCTGAATCTTCCAGCATTCAGCTTCATTGGATACCGACAGGCTCTAGTACAGTGGTACCTCGGGTTAAGTACTTAATTCGTTCCGGAGGTCTGTTCTTAACCTGAAACTGTTCTTAACCTGAAGCACCACTTTAGCTAATGGGGCCTCCTGCTGCTGCCACGCCGCCGGAGCACGATTTCTGTTCTCATCCTAAAGCAAAGTTCTTAACCCGAGGTACTATTTCTGGGTTAGCGGAGTCTGTAACCTGAAGCGTATGTAACCTGAGGTACCACTGTATTATGAGAAAGGGAGAAATTCTTTTCTGTATCCACTTTCTCCAAGCTAGGTCTAAATTTTATAAACTTCCACCAAGTCACCTTTGACTCACTTTCTCTCTAAGCTAAAAAGTCCCAAATGCTGTAACCTTCCTCCATAGGGTTACCATTGTCCAAACCTTTTCCAACACCGCAATATCCTTTCTGAGGTAAGACAGCTGAAAATGTACACAGCATTGCAAATGAGGTTGTCCTTCAGGCCCCGGGGGCAGAATCTGGCCCTTCAGACCTTTCTGTCTGACCCCTGGAATAGAGGGCAAAGGCTCTCCCTCACCTTTGAGAATAATCAGATAAGCACTTTTAAAAGGGTACCTGTAGGAGAAGAATGAACTGGGGGAATCTTTGGATGGGCTTCACCATCAGGCCGTAAAGAGTCACCCGGTCGACGCTGCCCATCTGCCTCTTCTGCCAAGAGAAGAATCACCTGCTGTTAATGTGAGGACCTCTGCCTTCCAATTTGGTGGGTCTCCATCCTCCCACCTTGGAGATAATGCTGGTCGGGCCCAGACAGTAAATTTCCACTCTCTGGACCCAATGCTGGCATGCAGGAGGCTTGGCAGAGCCTATCCTATTCACTGCCATAACCAACCCTTGCGACAGCATACCCATTTTACAGAGTGGGGAAACTGAGGCCGGGAAAGAGCAGCTTGGCCCACTGCTCTCCTAGCCCAGGGCAGAGTCAGAACATGAACCTGGTCCTCGCTCATGTCACACCCACACCCTACATTTAGAGCACAGTGTTTCTGCCAAAGAATCCTGGGAACTCTAGTTCACCCCTCCCACAGCTACAATTCCCAGCTCTTGTAGCAAACTACTGACCTTGAGGAACTCTAGAAAGGCAGGCTTGGTAAGGCAGGCCTTCTTGATCAAGGACATGGCAGTGGTGAAATTGTTGACGTATTCGCTGTAGACATCCAGCACCATGGACTTGGAAAACTGTGGTGGAAGCGGGAAGAGAAAGAGAGAGTTTGCACACCTATTTCATTCAGAGCAAAGCCATTGTGGCTAGTAGCTAGCGACTGCCCTCTCCTCCATGAATATGTCTGATTTTTTAAAGCCCTCTAAGTTGGGGGCCTTTGTCCATGGAGTTTTCTTGGCAGGGATACTGGAGTGGCTTGCCAGTTCCTGCTCCAGGTGGATCACGTTTGGTCAAAACTCTCCACTATGACCTGTCCATCTTGGGTGGCCCTGCACGGCATAGCTCATAGCTTCTCTGAGTTATTCAAGCCCCTTCGCCACGGCAAGGCAGTAATCCATGAAGGGTTAGGAAGTGAGAGTTGGACCATAAAGATGGCTGATCGCCGAAGAATTGATGTTTTGAATTCTGGGGCTGGAGGAGACTCTTGAGAGTCCCATGGACTGCAAGAAGATCAAACCTCTCCATTCTGAAGGAAATCAGCCCTGAGTGCTGACTGGAAGGACAGATCCTGAAGCTGAGGCTCCAATACTTTGGCCACCTCATGAGAAGCGAAGACTCCCTGGAAAAGACCCTGATGTTGGGAAAGATGGAGGGCACAAGGAGAAGGGGATAACAGAGGACAAGATGGTTGGACAGTGTTCTCGAAGCTACCAGCATGAGTTTGACCAAACTGCGGGAGGCAGTGGAAGACAGGAGTGCCTGGCGTGCTCTGGTCCATGGGGTCACAAAGAGGCGGACACGACTAAATGACTAAACAACAACAACAAAGTTGGGGGCCATCATTCTCTCCTGGAATGTGGGCATTAAACTAAGTTAGTGCCCATTCCATTTGCCTAGACCATCGACCCTGAACGAGAAGGGCTGTTTTCTCCATTTCCATTTGCCTTGACCAAAGATGTTAACCTAGAAGGGCTGCTTTTCTCCATTTCAGATTCCATCCACATCCCTTATAGATTGTCCTTTGAAGCAGCTCAAAGCTTCCGGGGACATTCCACACAGGAGCTATGGACCTACAAGGTGGAGGCTTGAAAGTTGAGGATACTTGGGAAAGGTTGTGGAATGAAAGGATAAAATTTACAGCCTGTAATGCTTTGAAAGAGAATATGATGAAAATGATGTATAGATGGTATATTACACCAGTGAAATTAGCTAAAATGTATAAGACAAATAATAAATGTTGGAAATGTAAAGAAAAAGAAGGAACATTTTATCATATGTGGTGGGAATGTAAAAAAGTAAAGAACTTCTGGGAAATGATATATAATGAGATGAAAAAGATGTTGAAATATACATCCTTAAAAAAACCAGAAGCATTTTTACTTGGTATTATAGGTCAGGACATTAATAGGCAAGATGTTAAATTGTTTTTATATGCAACAACTGCAGCAAGAGTATTGTTAGCCCAGAAATGGAAACAAGAAGAAATTCCAATGAAAGAAGAATGGCAGACGAAATTAATGGACTATGCAGAATTGGACAAAATGACAGGAAGGATTCGAAACCTGCGGGACCAGAGATTTACAGAAGATTGGAAGAGGTATATGAATTATTTGAAGATCAACTGTAATCAACAAATTACGCTAGTAGGACTACAAGAAGTTTTGTAAGGAGAAATATACGAAGTTTTACAAAGTAGAAAAAGATAGAGATATTGGTGATGAGTTTGAAATGTAATAGGGAAGATCAGAAATGCATACTGAGAGATTAGATTGGAATATTTTCAGACAGGATTGATGGAAGTCAAAAATTTGAATAAGATGTAAAAGTATGTTTAATTACTGTTGAAAATGATATGTTAAAAAAACCTAATAAAAAATTATATTAAAAAAATTAAATAAAAAAGAAAGAAAGGTGAGGTTACTTGACCCTCCTCCTCCTCCAGGAATGTGATGCCCCTGCCCAGATGAGTCCTGCAAACACTCACCGAGGCCACAAAGAGGTCGCCAATTTTCTCCGTGGTGTCCCACTCAGCTACGCGCGAAGACAAGGCGATCTGGAACATGGAGTGGCACTGCAGGATCTCTTTGACCCGGAAGAAAACCACCTGGCATTTCCGGAGGCTGAGAACTTTGGGCTCCATCTCCACAAGAGGGTTCCTGTAATCCTGTCAACAGTGGAGACGGGAAGACACGGAGCCGTGAAAAGAAGGTCGCTCCCTGACAGAGTATTTGCCTTGAATGCACAAGGTCTCTTTACAGTAACAATATGGAAGCTAAGGTAAAGGGACCCCTGACCATTAGGTCCAGTCGTTACCGACTCTGGGGTTGCAGCGCACATCTCACTTTATTGGCTGAGGGAGCCGGCGTACAGCTTCCGGGTCATGTAGCCAGCATGACTAATCCGCTTCTGGTGAACCAGAGCAGCGCACAGAAATGCCATTTACCTTCCCGCCAGAGCGGTACCTATTTATCTACTTGCACTTTGACGTACTTTCAAACTGCTAGGTTGGCAGGAGCAGGGACTGAGCAACAGGAGCTCACTCCGTCGCAGGTATTTGAACCACCGACCTTCTGATCGGCAAGTCCTAGGCTCTGTGGTTTAACCCACAGCGAAGCTACTATGTTATTAAATCTCAAACGAAAAGCTTGGACAACAGCCCTGACTGGAATGATTAACAACTTGGGAGTTGATGCGTCATTAAACTTTGGACAACAGGCTTGGACAACAACCCGGATTGGAAGATTGGAGTCAGGGAAAGCTGCGCTGGCAAATAGACAGTTGAAAAATATATTTACACAAATGAAGCTGTATTCAACGGACGAAAGGAAAAATGATTTCTGACATGATTGAGAATCGTAGAGCCAGGGACGGAGAACTTTAAAGCATTTAAACAGGGATGTGGAAAATAGGAAAACAACAAGGAGAGGAAGGACTGAAGATTTGGAAATATGCTTCAGAAGTCCAGACTATGGGGAGCCCCAAAAAAATAATAATTACAATTGGATTATAATTTGGTCTTTTTTATTTTAGTTTTTTGTTTTAATTGGATTATGATTGGATATCCTGATTGGCCGTTTTTATTGGAAAATTAATAAAAATGATTTTTTAAAAATGCACAAGGTCTCAATTTCCATCGCCCAGCAGCCTCTCCAGGAAAGGCTAGGAACATCTGCTGCCTGTTACCATGGAGAGCTGCTGCGAGTCAGTGTAGACAATCCTGACTAAGGCAGTTTCCTAGGTTCCTCTTTAAATCAGCTCCTTCCCCAGAAGTTTGAGGACCAGAATCTCTCTTTGCTTTTAGTGAAATGGGTAGAGCTCAGAGGATGACTTTTGCTTGTTTGTGGAAAGGAAAGTAATCTCCTGGGGTGTTTTGTTGTTTTTTAAGCTGATCTCCCAAGAAATGTGTGACTTTCCTGGTTTCCTTGACAGGGCTATAGCTCAGTGGGAAGAGCAGCTTCTTGGCATGCAGAAGGCCCCGGGTTCCATCCCCAATGGCATCTTCAGGTAGGGCTAGGAAAGACGCCTTGCCTGAAACCTTGAAGAACTGCTGCCAGTCAGTGTAGACAATACTAAGCTAGATGGACTGACAGTCTGACTTAATATAAGGGGACATTGTTTAAATCAGCCCTCTATTCAGAATCATGAGGACTAGAAGCTTGCTTTACTTTAAACACGAAAGGGCCAAAGCTCAGTGGTAAAGCCCTTGCCTTGCACTCAGGATGTCCCAGGCCCAGTCCCTGGCAGCATCTCCTACTGGGGTCAGGGATTGTCCCCTGCCTGAAACCTTGGAGAGCTGCTGCCAGTCAGTGCAGACAACACTGGGCTAGGTGGACTTATACGATATATGATATCTTTATTGTCATTGTCCTATGCAGAACAATGAAATTGAAAACTACATAAAACTACTACAAAACTACATAAAACATTCAAAAACCCCTAAAAACTCTGAAACCCCATTTTAAAATACACTATACTATAGAGACCCCTTATGCTGTATTTGGGTAGAAACTGTTTCTCAGGCGGTTAGTCCTGGCCTTTATAACCCTATACCTTCTTCCAGAAGGCAGAAGCTGAAAGAGATCATTTCCGGGGTGTGCACTATCCTGCGCTATCTCTGCAGCTTTCTTATGGCACCTGGCAGCATAGATTTGATCTAAGGTGGGAAGAGGACTTGATGGCCTGACTTAGTATATGGCAGCTTTTGCTAAGTTTGTGTTCATGTTTGGTGAGAGGACAGTGGAAGCCACTCGCTCAGGGGTGGGTGGGCAAGAGCAGATGGGGGCAAAAGGTTGATAAAATAATACTTTTATTATTTATATGCCACCCAACTGAGTGGCTTCCCCCAGCCACTCTGGGCAGCTCCCAACAAAGAATTGAAAACACAGTAAAACACCAAAAATTTCCCTCAACAGGGCTGCCTTCAGATGCCTTCTAAAAGTCAAATAGATGTTTGACATCTCATGGGAGGGCATTCCACAGGACGGGTGCCACCTCCGAGAAGCCCCTGTGCCTGGTTCCCCACTCACGAAGCAGAAAGCTCTCTCACCTGCAAGATCCTCCGCAAGGAGTCGACGTAGCTTCTCTCGCTCTGGACGATGGAGCCCAGAATGTGGCGGCGCACAACCTGTAGAGAGGGGGTCGGATTAGGTGCGGGTGACTCAAGAGAGCATCATGGAGGAGAGAGGAAGAACTGCCAGCTGGGGCAGCATGCAGGGACCAAATAGGTCTATTGGACTGATCAGCACTAAAAAAGGTAATGCTTAAATCAAGTCAAAGGCGACTACAGGGTTACGGCGCTCATCTCGCTTTCAGGCCGAGGGAGCCGGCGTTTGCCCATAGACAGCTTTCTGGGTCATGTGGCCAGCAGGACTAAACCGCTTCTGGCGCAACGGAAACACCGTGACGGAAACCAGAGCACATGGAAACGCTGTTTACCTTCCCACCGCAGCAGTACCTATTTATCTGCTTACATTGGCCTGCTACAGTTGGAGTTCCTCTAAAACCTAAGTGGCTTGCCTTTCTATCCAAAACCAACACAATTACATAATTAATTTCAGGGTGCTTCGGTAGGGAAGCTGTTATCGTGGCTTCCTCCAACGACTCCTGGGAACAGAAATTTGTTCAGGGGGCTGGGCATTGCTAAGGGAGACCCCTGCTCATGGAGCTACAATTCCCAGAGTTCCATGGGAAGAGGGATTGGTTGTAAGAGAACTCTGGGCATGTGCAGAGTGTCTTATTTTTCTTCAACTCAGGGCTCAAGGATGTGTTGCAGAATATGCCAGTCTAGTGGGAGCAATCAGGGCAATGGCCTACCAAGGACTAATATATAAAAGGTAAAGGTAAAGAACCCATGGATGGTTAAGTCCAGTTAAAGGCGACTATGGGGTTGTGGCGCTCATCTCGCTTTCAGTCCGAGGGAGGGCGTTTGTCCACAGACAGCTTCCCAGGTCCTATGGCCAGAATGACACAACTGCTTCTGGCGCAACGGGACACCGTGACAATTGCCAGAGCGCACAGAAATGCCATTTACCTTCCTGCCACTGTGGTAGCTATTTATCTACTTGCACTGGTGTGCTTTCAAACTGCTAGGTTGGCAGAAGCTGGGACAGAGCAACGGGAGCTCACCCCGTCATGGAGATTTGAACCGCTGATCGGCAAACCCAAGAGGCTCGGTGGTTTACTGGTCAGTTAAAACGTTAAAAATGTGTTAGAAAAGTGTGACACCAGAATGTGATGTAGAGCAGCGATCCCTTGCCAATGTAAATTTGCATTTACATTGCTCACCCCGTTGTGCAGATTCGAACCGCCAATCTTCCGATTGGCAAGCCCAAGAGGCTCAGTGGTTTAGACCACAGTGCCACCCGCAGCAAGGGGAGCAGAGGGAGACTGAGGCCCAAGGGCCAATTGCGGACCCCGGGGCTATCTTTTCTGGCCCGCAGGACCCTATCCCAGACCACACCTCTCACCAGCCCTGTTTCCCATCCTCCTTGAATGCTTTTTCCCTGGCTGCAAAAGGTGCCCTTTAACTCTGATCATGCCTCTAGATTGTAAAAGAAGCCTTTTTTTACAAAGGCGAAATGAGCAGGCATTGCTCCACCCATTTCCCCCTTTGGCCCCACCCACTAGTGGCATGCGGCCCTCGGGTGGCTTCCCAGACACAAATGTGGCCCTTGGGTTGGAAAAGGTTCCCTGCCCCGGTCTCTAGATTCTAAGATCTTGGGCAAAAAAAGTCCTTCTCATCACTTGTTAGCGGATCTTTTTTTACAAAAAATATGGATATCCACGGGCCCCTTCTGCATGCCAAGCAGATGCTCTAGCACTGAGCTATATTTTTGGGTCTCTGCAAAAGCCAGAGTTTCCCCCAAAGCAGCCAAGGTGGGTGCAGCTTTCCCTCCCTCGAGGTGCTCCAAAACTTAAGAATGAGCCACATTCCCAAGCACTCACCTGCTGAGGGCTTAACCCTTCGGGCATCGGGCCCAACTCGGGAAACAGGTGCTTCAAATCATTCACCGGGACCTCCAGGAATCCCATTTCCTCCTCTTCGGAATCGCCTGGAGGGGACGCATGCAGACACAAGATTCACACAAGGTCATCTCCAGGGCTACTGGCCCTCGCAGGGAGAAACACAACACAATGCACTGGAAGAATTTTATTGTGGGCAGCCAGGAACAACAAAGCAACAGGGAATATGGAACGGGCATATTCAGACCACCAGCCAAAACGTGGAATTAGGAAGATGAATTTTGCTTCCCTCAGAGGATTCAACACACACTTTCAGGATTGCCAGTCCAGCAACACACCCTTAAAGATTCAGCTGACAACATCAAAGCATTGCTTTTAATGGTTCTAGTCCTCATGGAAGCCTCATGCTCTTTAAAGGGGCTCAGGAAAGAGCCTGTGAGTTGTATCCCACTAAATCCTTCCAGGGTGGCCCCACTGAAACGAAGGGACCCAGGTTAGCCATGTCTGTTAATTGGGTCTAATATGACTCCCTGTGCCCTTTTCTTTAAAAGTTGCTATTCCTTGTTCAACTCTCCTCTCAGAGCCTGCTAGGGACCTCTTGAAAACAACCCTCTATATTTGACACTGAATTCTGCATCCTGGAGCTTTCGCCACCATGTATCCAGAGCAGCTCAAAAGTCCAGAGAAGTAATGCTTCTCAGCTCAACCATGCAAGTTCCAAACTTCCAAGATGCTTTGTAGACTGAGCCAAAATGATAGCATCCTCCTTTTATTTCTGATGATAGCCGCTCCCATCATTGCATTATCACAGGACGCCTTGCAGCAGGAGGCAGGCGTTTCTGTCCTCCACGATATCATCACAGTCCATTCCTGCCACGTCTTCCAGAACCCAAGGCTTTGTATTTCGCCTCCCTCTGTTGCATTTACCTTCCTACCAACTCAGGGGGCCGATGGAGCTTTTGCCCAGATTGCAACCCCACAAGGGAAGCTTCAGACCCTCCAAGTGTCCCTATTTTCCAGGGGCAGTCCTGGGTTTACAGAAGCCGTCCCGGTTTCTGATTTAATTCCAGAATGTCCTGCTTTTCCTTAAAGGTAAAGGTAAAGGGACCCCTGACCATTAGGTCTAGTTGCGGACAACTCTGGGGTCACTTTACTGGCTGAGGGAGCCAGCGTACAGATGTGGCCAGCATGACTAAGCCGCTTCTGGCGAACCAGAGCAGCACACGGAAATGCCATTTACCTTCCTGCCGGAGCGGTACCTATTTATCTACTTGCACTCTGACGTGCTTTCGAACTGCTAGGTTGGCAGGAGCAGGGACCGAGCAACGGCAGTTCACCTTGTCGTTGGGATTCGAACCGCCAACCTTCTGATTGGCAAGCCCTAGTCAGTGGTTTAGACCACAGCACCACCCGCGTCCCTTTGCTTTTCCTTAGGTTGTCCCTATTTCCATCGGAGAAATTTTGCAGGGTATGGAGTTACATGACCCCCCCAAGCCAAGGAGATAAGTAACTATGCAACCTTTAGAAGACATCTGAAGGCAGCCCTGGATAGGGAAGTTTTTAAATGTTTTATTATGTTTGTATATATGTTGGAAGCCACCCAGAGTGGCTGGGGCAACCCAGTAAGATGAGCGGGGTAGAAATAATAAAATTATTGTTGTTATTATTATTATGGAACAGGACGTCTCTATTCTCATAGGAGAAATGTTGGCAGGTGTGAAGGTTTCTCCAGCCTGCTCTGGGGTCAAGGGTCAGCCTGCCTTTTCATGCTGCACCAGACTGAACATGTGCGCAGACAGCATTTCCCTTCACTGCTTGGGAAGTCACAACTCCCCAGTTCTCCCAACCATGGGAAAGGGAAATCAGAATGCCCTCAGAAGGATAGGGCAAATGGCAAGGGAGAAAAGGTTTGAGTATACAAGCAACCAAGTTCTTAAGTTAAACTGGCTTTAACCACCTCCGCTTTCATAGAACCATAGAATTGCAGAGCTGGAAGGGACCCCCCAAGATTAATCTAGTCCATGGGTAGGCAAACTAAGGCCCGGGGGGCAGGATCCGGCCCAATCGCCTTCTAAATCCGGCCCGCGGACGGTCCGGGAATCAGCGTGTTTTGACATGAGTAGAATGTGTCCTTTTATTTAAAATGCATCTCTGGGTTATTTGTGGGGCCTGCCCGGTGTTTTTACATGAGTAGAATGTGTGCTTTTATTTAAAATGCATCTCTGGGTTATTTGTGGGGCATAGGAATTCATTCATTTTTTTCTCCCAAAATATAGTCCGGCCCCCTGCAAGGTCTGAGGGACAGTGGACTGGCCCCCTGCTGAAAAAGTTTGCTGGCCCCATGATTCTAGTCCAACCCCCTGCAATGCAGGAATCTCAGCTAAAGCATCCATGACATAAGAAGATGAGAAAAACACCTTCCTGTCCCAGACCCCCGACAGCAAGCAAAACTTGCCTGCTGAGTCATCTCCGAGTGGCACATGACAATGATTTATTTTTATTTTCTTCGGGGGTGCCAGAGAGGGGTAAACCTCAGCGGCTGATGGGACCTCTGAGCTTGGCTCTTTGCTGAAGGAGGAAGCCTGAGTCAAACATAAATAAATGCAAGGGGCCTTACCTGAAAGAGACGAAGAGGAGGAGGAAGAGGAGGAAGAGGAACGGATGATGATGAAGTCCCGGTTGGACCGGTGCCGTTTACGCCACATCTCACCCTTCAGGGGTGCCGCTCGCCCGACCCTCCACCCCGTCCCACCAAACCCTCTAGCCAGCCTCGACTGACTGTCCCCAAACTTCCTCTTTCTCCGCGCTCTAGTTCCCACTCGCGTGCGGGGAGATCTTGGCAAAGGGGTCTCCAGCGGAGGAAAGGTTGCATCGCAGCCAGCTGCAAGGAGGAGCTGGCAAATGAGAAGGGGCGGAGGGCAAAAGAAGGAAGAGCAGCGGAGGGTGTTAGCTGCCCAGGGAGGGGTGGGGATCGGAGGGCACCAGAAATAGACCAGCAAAGGGTGACCTTTTCCTTCCCTAATTTTGGAACAGCTGCTCTGCTGGGACAGCAGCCATGCGGGGAGGAAGGGTTCGGGACGGAAACAGCCGGAGGGGCAGGCAGGGAAAGTGCTGGGCTGGAGGGGGGCATGAATGGAGAACCTCGCAACCCCCACCAGCAGAGGAAAATATTTTGGAGAGGGACAAACCGGCAGACCCACCCGACGCAGTGAAGGTAGCAAAAATGGCATCGGCGGCTAAATTACCTTCTGCCAAAGACACGGTCAGTTTGCAAAACTGAGGTTCCCTACGAGGACCAGACAACCCCTAGGATCCCCCCTTCCAATTGTCCAGCTCTATGCTTCAGGGGACACGGGTGGCGCGGTGGGTTAAACCACAGAGCCTAGGACTGGCCGAGCTGAAGATCGGCAGTTCGAATCCCTGCGACAGAGTGAGCTCCCGTTGCTCGGTCCCTGCTCCTGCCAACCTAGCAGTTCAAAAGCATGTCAAAGTGCAAGTAGATAAATAGGTACCACTCCAGCGGGAAGGTAAACGGCGTTTCCATGCACTGCTCTGGTTCACCAGAAGCGGCTTAGTCATGCTGGCCACATGACCCAGAAGCTGTACGCTGGCTCCCTCGGCCAATAAAGCGAGATGAGCACCGCAACCCCAGAGTCGGCCACGACTAGATCTAATGGTCAGGGGTCCATTTACCTTTATGCTTCTGTTATTTTCTGCCCTCCAGATGCAAAGGGGTATTAAATGCAACTACATTCTAAAGACACCCCCCACCTGTCTTCTACAAATAAAAACAATAAAAATAATGGAAGGTGCATAGGTGAAGGAGGAGCCTGCAAGCTCTTAAAATTAACCCCCAGAAATCATTTCCTAATGGAGCATGTGACAGAAGTCGAAGAGAAGAAGGGGTGTAACTCAGGGCTGGAGCACTTGCTTGGCATGCAGAAGGACCCAGGTTCAATCCCTGGTGGCATCTCCAGGTAGGCCTGGGACATGGGGGGAGCCTGCCTCAAACCCTGGAGAGCTGCTGCCAGCCAGTGCTGACCACTGTTCTGACAGCTTCCTCTCTTTCTGTTGAAACGAGGCCTTTAATCCAAACCAGGCTGACCCCTGACTCCAGAGCAGGCTGGAGCAACCTTCATAAAAGGTAAAGGGACCCCTGACCATTAGGTCCAGTCGTGGCTGACTCTGGGGTTGCAGCGCTCATCTTGCTTTATTGGCCGAGAGAGCAGGTGTACAGCTTGTGGTTCATGTGGCCAGCCGGACTAAGCCGCTTCTGGCGAACCAGAGCAGCGCACGGAAACGCCGTTTACCTTCCCGCCAGAGCGGTACCTATTTATCTATTTGCACTTTGACGTGCTTTCGAACTGCTAGGTTGGCAGGAGCAGGGACCAAGCAATGGGAGCTCACCCCTTCGGGATTCGAACCGCCGACCTTCTGATCAGTAAGTCCTAGGCTCTGTGGTTTAACCCACAGCACCACCTGCGTCCCTTGGAGCAACCTTCATACCTGCCAACATTTCTCCGATGAGAATAGGGACATCCTATTCAATAATAATAATAATTCTGTTTGTACCCCACCCATCTGACTGGGTTGCCTGAGCCACTCTGGGCGGCTTCCAACATACAGTGGTACCTTGGTTCTCAAACTTAATCTGTTCTTGGGGTCCATTTGACTCTCAAAACCATTTGAAAACCAAGGCACAGCTTCCGATTGGCTGCAGGAGCTTCCTGCAGAAGCGGAAGGTGTGTCGGACATTCAACTTCCAAAAAACATTTGCAAACCGGAACACTTTCTTCTGGGTTTGCGGCATTTGGGAGCCAATTTGTTCGGCAACTAAGCAGTTCGAGAACCAAGGTACCACTGTGTATAAAAACATAATAAAACATTAAACGGTTTTTTAAAACTTCCGTATACAGGGCTAGCCCCTTCATATGTCTTCTAAAAGGTTGTATCTCCTTGGCTCGGGGGTCGGACAACTTCATACCCATTTCTATGATGAAAATAGGGACGTGTTAAGGAAAAGCGGGACATTCCAGGATCAAATCCGAAACCGGGACGCCTTCTGCAAATCTGGGACTGCCTCTGGATAATAGGAACAGTTGGAGGGTCCAGAAACAGCAAAGGAGAAAAGGCAGGCAAGTCCTTGCCCCGAAGATCTGACATTCAAAAATCCGAAGGCTGTCAAAGCAACGAACTGCGGAAAGCAAGGGTTGGCACATCAACGAAGACCATGAGCTCTAGCCACAGGTGTGCCTCTATGCAGCGGCTGGCACAAGCAACTACGAGGTCCGCACCCGCAACTAGAAGGCGCAACCAGATCTGCGCACAGTAAGCAAGGGTTCAAGCTCACTTGCCGCTGCCTGGTACATGAGATGGAGAGGTGCTGGGGCCCTCAGTGTCGCTGGGAAGCCACACTCTCCAACAACAAAGCCCACTCTCTTTTAGAATCACAGAATTGCAGCGTCGGAAGGGACCCCCAAAAGGTCCGCATCTGTAAGACCTCGATTATTCTGTGTGGCAGCATCTACACTTCGGAACTCCCTGCCTATTGAGATCAAGCAGAAGGCTTCCCTGCAGCACACTTTTAGGTGCCCGCTAAAAGCATTCTTGTTCAGTCAGGCCCGTGCGTATATATGCTTAGAAAGTTGAGGTGATCATTAAATCTGCTTTGGAATTTTAAATTTTTGCAAGTTTTAAAGTTCCATGGGGAAGGCTTAGCAACACAACTACACAATTAAAGTTTTAAAGTTAAAAGCAATAACTGAAATGCAATAAATGCCTTCTGTGCCCTAAAACATTTCCATTCTGCCAAGGCTATCACAAGTGATTAAGAATACAGCACATCCTTCCAAAATGGTTTCAAAGATCCTGGTTTTTAACTTTTTTTTATATACGCTCTCTAAAGCAGGGCTTCATGTTCTTATTTACTGTAAACCTCTTTGTTTGGGGTTTGGGTACTCAATAATAATAATAATAATAATAATAATAATAATAATAATAATAATAATTTATTAGAAATCCTGCCCTCCCCAGCCGAAGCCGGGCTCAGAGCGGCTACCAACAGTAAAATAATACAGCATTCTAAAATCATTTCATTATAAAATCAGTTCAAATCAAATTAATGACAACCATTGGGCTAGAGTTCTGTGAGGATTGCCAAAGGAGGGAGTCAGGCTGTGCCCTGGCCAAAGGCCTGGTGGAACAGCTCCGTCTTGCAGGCCCTGCAGAAAGATGTCAAGTCCTGCAGGGCCCTAGTCTCTTGTGACAGAGCGTTCCACCAGATCAGGGCCACAGCCAAAAAAGCCCTGGCTCTAGTTGAGGCCAGCCTAACCTCCCTGTGGCCCGGGACCTCCAAGATGTTTTTGTTTGAAGACTGTAAGTTCCTCTGTGGGACATACCAGGAGAGGCGGTCCCATAGGTACAAGGGTCCTAGGCCGTATAGGGCTTTAAAGGTTAAAACCAGCACCTTAAGCTGACCCTGTACTCCACCGGGAGCCAGTGCAGCTGGTATAGCACCGGGTGAATGTGATCCCACAGCGAGGACCCCGTAAGGAGTCTCGCCACGGCATTCTGCACCCGCTGGAGTTTCTGGGTCAGTCTCAAGGGCAGCCCCATGTAGAGCGAGTTACAGTAATCCAGTCTGGAGGTGACGGTCACGTGGATCACAGTGGCTAGGTCAGGGCAAGAGAGGTAAGGAGCCAACTGCTTAGCTTGGTGGAGATGAAAAAATGCCGCCTTTGTTACAGCTGCAATCTGCGCCTCCATGGAAAGGGAGGTGTCGAAGACAGTAGTATGGAAATATTTTTTATAAACAAAATAAATACAGAGGGTCTGTGAGGACACACAGAGTGCCTTTGCTCTAGGCCACTAGTTGCAATGTGTTCTGGGTGCGGGAGGTCGAAGCGGTCCTCTGTGTTTGTGTACTTGTTGGGGAGCAGGGCTTCCAGATTCCCCCCTCCCCATTAGCAACACCGCCCTGCTTTTGGCAGCCTCTGCAAAAACAACAGCACTCTCGAGCATGTGCAAAGTGTGCGGGTTCCGGGGGGGGCAACCCCCAGCAAGGCCCTTTTCACTAGCAGAGGCAAGCTAAGACACAGAAGCTCACACACTACAAAACTCCACTGCAAATCATGCTACCTCGTCTCGAATGGAGACAGGATCCGGGAGGGCAAGAGGCCCCCAGATCCGTACCTCTGTCCACGGACAGCTTGTGGGCTTTGGAGAGCTCCCCAGTCCAGGACAAAGAGCGCTTCCTGCCTGGTTCCATGGCGCTCCTGCCTGGCTCCCCGTCCCCTACAGCCAGGGAAACATCACGAGAAAAACAGAAAGAAAATACTGTGTTTACTCTCCTCTCCCCTTCCTTACACAGCCAGGCATGCTTGCTAACTTCAGGGAAGTTCTCTCAACAGCCACTGGGGAGGGGGGCAGCAAGCCCAAAGGGATTTTTGCCTCCCACCCTAAACCAGCAAAGGACAAAGTGGGTGCTTGTCTCACAGGGTACAGCTTCAGACGGCACCAGCCCTAGCTGCGTTCCAGTTGCATATATATGCATGTATTTGCCCTGGTTAAGTCAGTGAAGCTACAAGAGGAAAGAAACATGAAAAACCCAAGCAAGTTCCGCTTGTTCCCAGTTGTTCGTTTTGCCCAAGTAAGCAGATCCTGCAAGGAGGTACACCCCCAAGGATGTTTCGCAACTGCCCAGAGAGGGAAGTGGGGTTTTGTAGCCTCAGGAGCCCTGCGGCTGGGAATCCTCCTTGTGAACTCAGCGTGGAACACGCAAGGGAAAGAATCGCTGTACTTTCTGTGTGTGTGTTTGTGTGTGTGTGTGCATGAGAGAGACAGACAAACAAACTAACAGACAGACAGAATTGGGGCAAGCAGCTGATATGAGCCCCATCTGCACCATGCAGCAAATAAACCTGTTGTTTATTTGTTTGTTTTTATTAGAGATTTCCTTGTGAAACAAACAATTTTAGTTACACGGCTGCAGCTCTGCGTAGATGTTGCGAAAATAAATGAATGAACACAGAGTCGTTTGGGGGGTGAGGAACAATCAGAAGAGACTGTCAGAGATGACATGCAAGCTTCCTGGAACCGAGTAAGGATGGCAGAGGGCTTAAAAGGCTCTTTCTGTGCTGGACTTTGCTGCTGCTAAAAGAGCTTTATAAGCCCTCTCTCTGCTAGGCTCTGGGAAGGTTGCATGAGGCTTCTGGAAGGCTGCATAGGATTCCGGCAAAATCTCGCAGGTAAGATAGGTAGAGTCATGCGGCAGAGGTTCGGGGGGGGGTTCTTCCTGACTTTCCGCGCTTTTGCCTTTGCCCGGACGTAACCCCCATGTAAGTTGTGGGCCTACCAAAGGTGTCATGGGCTTTGAAGTCAAACTCGGAACAAAAGGGAGAAACAGGCGAAGAGGAAGGCATGTTTGGCAAACCCTCACCGTGATCAACTCCCACCCGTAAACCTATGTCCCCACTGTGGAAGGACGTGTGGATCCAGAATTGGCCTCAATGGCCACTTACGGACTCACTGTTAAGACCATGTTTATGGAAGACAATCATACCCGGCTACGAGGGATCGCCAAAGAAGAAAGAAAGAAAGAAAGAAAGAAAGAAAGAAAGAAAGAAAGAAAGAAAGAAAGAAAGCCACTGAAATTCATGGGGATCCTCTGGTAATTTCAATGAGTAAAACTTAGTTGACCCTCCCAGACATGCATGGCCTCACAGTGGTGCAAGAGTTTGGGCTGCCAAGCCAGGAATCACCATGATCAACTCCTGCCCGGAAACCTAGGTCCCCACAGTGGCAGTGCTCCCTGCTTCAGCACCGGGAGCGGCGTACATCCTGGGGCGTGCGCGGCAAGTGGCGCAAGTCCCAGGGGTCCGCAGCAAGCAGCAAGTGTCTTGGGGGGTGGCGAGCACTGAGCGTCCTGGGGGGCAGGGGCGGCCGCGGTGGCACACGCACACAAACGGGATGGCACCC